TGGTATGCATTAGTGTCGTCTAGTCACTTATTTATCCTTCATCACTTCCGGATTCCCAGCCTCCCGGGTCGTATTCCCTTTTGTCGCCTCAGCAAAATTTATTGCGCTGGTGTTGCTTATTCATATCTAGTCTTTGGTTTGGTGGCCCCACTAAATTTTTTTTAGTATGTTATCTTTGACTTGCTATCACTTCTCTCAAGATTTCCACCACATTCACCCCTTTTGAATATCTTTAAAAAATCTATTTTCTCATTTATCCTTCAACACTTCCAAACTACCTCTCAACCTCCCAGGTTCCACTCTCAACTCCCAGGTTCCACCCCTTTCGTAAATGGTCCTGGTGTCTAATTGCTTTCTTTCCATCCTGGAACGTCAATATTTTAAATTATCACTCCCGACTCCCATTTTCTGATAACCCCAAAAAATCGGGCCCATATAGTTTGTTCTACCACGAATTCAGAGGTTTCATTTACCTCCGTCTGCCCCTCTTTGCTTTTTTGAATAAATCAGAGTTCTTCTAGAATATTATAATTGTCATGAGTTGGAGAGATCGTAAATCACTTAAAAAGGGGAAGAATATAATTAAATAAAGAATATGTGGAAAATAATGGACTAATTTTAACTTCAAAACGAAAAATAAGCTGGATGCAGGGTAAATTGAAAGTATAATACAGGGTAGTAGTATAATTTATTTTTAAAAAAAATTTATTTTGAATTTTGGGTAATTGAAAGTAGTATGAAATTATTTACCTTGCGCACTTCAAATTTCAAGAATTTATAATCATTCAATTCTTGATGCATAAGAGTTAGTTTTTTGACGTCGAAATTCATGTAATAATAGGGCCAACTTTTGATCCCCGAAACGCCGAATAGATGCCCTCCAGAGGACAGTCACACGGAGATCAACAGAGGTGTTATTATTGCCAGGAACGGAGTCATTTGAGGAATGGATGCCTCCGAAGTAACCAGTAGGACGGGTTATCGAGGAATGGACAAATCGCCAACCCAATGCGGATCTGGGAACCAGATAATGTGGATTGTAGAACAAGCTGAGCCGGTTTCAGCGGGAGAAGAAAGTGTTAAGGACGGGTTGTCACCTACGCGGAACATGGGGGAACGAGATTTCAGGGACGAGGCCCGCGGTTTAGGTGATAAATGAGAGGAACGACGGCAAATGGGAAGACCCAACGCCCGTCGGGTTGGAAAAGGACGGCGAAGATAGAAAACTTTGAGGGAGACAATACTGATTCAACATTGGTGGGCACATATTTGAGTACTGAACTCGAAAGTAGAGTTCGTGTTGGGAGAGGCCGATTTGGAGCATGGGAGCTGTGAAGTTGACATGAAAATTGGGGATTTCATTTTAGGATAATGAGTAATTATTTGTGAATTACACAATATTATAATCGCGTTAATAAATAAATAGCATTAATAAATATATATAATTTTCGTAGAAAATAAATGGAGAAATATTATTAATGAATATTTATTTTCGCATATTTATATAAGATGCGGAAAAGAAAGAATAATGATACTCTGTTTTTTGATGTTTGCTTTTTAGGATTGTGGGTTTATTGGGAAATTGGAAATATAAAGTTTAACAGAAATAAACGTTATATATATGTTCTAGGAAAGGAGAGAACCATAATACAAATAAACAAACAAAATTAGTGACAAACATAATTTTAATTAGCCTATTATTTAAGGTTATATTTAGCAATCTAAAAATATATAAATATTTATAAATCATTTATTTATAAAATAATATCATTAATTTTTTTTGTTCCAAAAGTCGTTACACTTTTTTCTAGAAATATTTATTTAGTTTTAAAATCATAAACATCCCTATAAAAAATGAATTATGTATTTTTATTTTAGCATATGTTTAATTATTTTGTTCGTTCTTAATTTATCACTTAAGAATGTTCTTAACTTAATAAATATAATCAAAAAATTAAATATCAATACCATAAAATTTTAAAATTAAGACTCCATGCGTTAGAATTAATAATATCGGTCGATAACCATTATTTAAAAAAGAGGCATGATCGGCCCGATCCGATAAAAAATATTGGTACATCCATAATTGAAAAACGAATATTTATGAATAAAAACTGTTGAGATGGTCAACATGATGTTCATTCATATTAAAGTTAAATGTAAATAATAGAAAATTGAGATAAATTAATATTTTTGTATTAATTGATTTTATAAATTGATATTGTTATTTTAATACGCCTTTAGTATTATAAAATTAATAGATACAATTTTATATTAATATAGATTGGTTTTTTATTAACAAGTAACGTTTAATAATACGACAATTGTTCAAATTATTTTGATGTTAGTTTTTTTTCTTTTATTATATAATAAAGTTTGGTGTTTTCATAAATAAATGAGTATAGTGTATTAAAATTATATAAATTACATATTTATTAAATATTTTTATTAAGGTGCATGCAGGCCTGGAAGGCCCCGGGTTTACAAGCCGGACCATGTAATTCACTCGGGAATTATCTAAAATAATTTTTTATCAACTTGGACCGGGCCGAATATTTAAAACATGATTATTAAATTAAAAAATATATTTTTTAAAATTATATTATAGAATACTATTTCAATTCACTTCTCGTTCCATTTCAAAACCATTTATATATTTTGTTAGAGAAAACATAACTAGTTTATAAAGTAAAATAGTTTTTAAATTATTCACCAATTATAATGATTTTTTATTTTTAGTCAAATCACGCAATTTTAATTTGTCCATATAAACTCTACTATCAGTTATTAAATGAAAGAAGAAAATAGTTACTATTTAAACAATTACAAAATAATTTACATATTCATAATTTACAAATGAAAAATTTTAAAATGATATAATTTATAATATTTCATTCAATCGCACAATCATAATATCTTCTAAAATATCATCCTTGCGATTTCCATGTAAATTAGACAATATATATTTCACAGATGAAAATTCACATATACCCTTACCTAAAATAGATAGTTATCTTTATAAAATTATTGTACTTGCGATGCCGGTACAGCCATGAAGATTCTAGATAAGATATATAATTCTGGATATATTGAAAAAAATTTTTCCAGAATTTTAAAATATTTATATCCTTATATTTACTTAACTTCTGAAAACTTTACTAAAGTTGCAATAGGCATTTTTTGATCCTCCTTTCTATCTAATGATAATTTGATTTTTTTTTCTCTATCTAAAAGTAAAATTTAAAGATCATCAATGTTGCTATCATTATTATCACTACTACCAGTAGGTATTGTCGTAACCTTCAATATATTGTAAATAATGGAGTTTTGAGTATGCCATAAATCCTAAAGATGATCTTTAGCCATTTGTTTTTGCTCAATATTCAATGAAACTTGATATCGAGGGTAATATATAGAAGCGTATAACACTATTTTGCAAATATTGTTGCTCTCGAATTTTTCAAAGAACTGTAATATTTTCTAAATCTAATCGGCATCTAATCCATATGCCATAAAAATCAAATCAACATAATTGTTCTGATTATAATCTTAATATTGTTATTTTTAAAGGAACTAATACACAAGTAAGGTCCTTTATTTGGCAACAATCATCTTCCGACATAATGGCTTCACATGCTCCTATAATAAAATCATTACAGAAATCTTTCAAACTTAATAATCGTTCTAGCATCATACAAATTGAGGACGAACGTGTTGTGCATTATCATTTAAATTAAAATATTATTACACAAATCACTTTATAAATAATCAACGTATTTCTATAACATAGCATATTAAAAAATTTACATAATAAAATATTATTACCTGCACTAATGATATCAATCTCTAAATAAAATGGAAGTCCAGGAAGAAAATTGAAAGAAAAACGTGAAGATAAAATAAATTATTCCACAAAAAAAGTTAATAAAATTTAAAAAAATATTTTTATTTATAAAATTTTTTATGACACCTTGAACCCTTGGACCCTCTACTTTTAAAAAGGGTCCGGGTTCGGGTTAAGCCAAAATACAAGGGTTCGTGAGGCAGGGTCAGGTTTCACATCCCTGATTACTACAGATAATTTTATAAAAGTATAAGATAAAATACTTTCCACAATTCTATTATGGCTTATACAAAAATTCTAAAGAAAAACAAAAATGTTAAATATAATAAAATAAATGCATCTTTGATTAATAATCTTACCTAGGTGGGGTTATTTTAATTAAATTATTTATATATTATAATAGATAAATAAAAAAATATCTATTTTTGCTAACATACATCTACTAATTTAAAACTAACATGAAAATTTCATCCGTTTATACAAAATGACCGCTTTATAAAAATAATATATCTTGATATATTTTCTCATTAAGACCTCCTTAATAAAACTGTTTTTAAATGAGTTTAATAGGAAAGGACGATGAAAGACAAGATCAAACCAAGGCCGATTAAGAAACCAAACTGGACTGATGAATATTAAATAAGAGACCGGAATGAAACCCGGTATCAAAAGATCGGATCGGAGCTCCTTAAAGTAATATTTAATATAGGAGGCTACTTTAAACAGATTAACTATTACTTTAAAAAAAGATTTACAAATTTTAAATGATTTTCCGACAATAATTAAATTCTCTATTTTAAAAAAAATATGTAGGCCATTACGATTTCATTTCCACAAAAAATAATTTAAATATTATAAAAATATATTAATAATTGTTAAACAGTTTTTTATTGTTAATATAGAAAAATACTATAAATTTTTTTTATAACTGTTCAGACCAAAGGCAGAACTGAAAACCGTATTTAAATCTGACTGGTCTTTGGTCTGAACCAGACTTTTGACCTTTCTCACTTCTCACGCAGTTTCTGTGTTGCAGCACCTGCCATATAACATTCTTTAGGTTTAGATCATATTTTAAACCTTTTTATATATGAATTAATAACTATTCTGTCTATTTCTTTTTATCATAAAAAACCTTTTTTGTCAATTTTATTAGGACTTCAACATTAGGAGGAGGCCCTATTCCCGGAAATTTACCACCAAGTATGCAGAGTAAAAGATTACAACAAACACAAGCTCAAGTCGACGAGGTTTTTTTTAAAATAAAAATTAAATTTATATATAATTTTTAATATTTGATATGACCACTCAAAAAGGGTGCCTTTTTGAAGTTATAATTTATTGGAACTACTTAGGGCCCTCTTAACCACCTAAATAATTATGCAGAAACTTCCTGCAGTCTGCCCTTTAAACCTCTAAGACGCGAGCAAATTCCCGATAATATTTTAATCTTTTAATCGGATATATAATAATAAAAATTGCCATATTTCAAACCTTTCATTAGCTATGTGGAGTTTCATATGATCTCACACCCCTTAAAATTACAAAAACTATTATGTAGATCCGGTTTTTTGGTAGCTTGATAATTATCTCTAAACAATATTTGTTCAAACTTTGGTAAATTTTATCAATATTTAGCTAAAAATGGTTTATTTGGTGTTAAAATATTTTTTAATTTAGAAAATAAAAATTTAGATTTTTGATGTGATTCTTATTATTGGGAAGAATTTAAAATAAAATCATGTTAGATAAAATGAAGTTTATAAATATAGATTAATTTTATATCAGGAGATATAACACATTTAATTGTGGTTTTCAAAAGCCCGAAATCACTTTTTGAATTTTTTTCACCTTAACCAAGGGATAAATATTTTATTTTTAAATTGCAAAAAATATTGATTTTAGATTTTCGTTCCATTGATATAATGGCTAAATTATTAAGCATTTACTACTTAGTCTTGATTTTACTCTTTTAATTTTGCCCATCACACTTAATTAACTTCGTTACATTACTTTATAAAAATAAGTCCGTTATCTTACTTTTTTAAAGCACCAATACATACCGTTACTAGCTTTCCTTTTATTTCATCAATTGATATATATTTATTATACAAATCGCAATTAATAATTGCACAGAATATTTTTAAAATTATTTAATTATCAATATTATATAAAATATATTCTAATTATTTTTTGACAATTTTATACTAATTATAACATTTTTATCCGAACTATTGTTTATCTCAATATTCTGCTATTGGACATCCATCCGTTCAATAGGTACTGAGGGTGGCAGGGAATATTTTATTTTATAAACTAGGATTTTGAATTGTTTAGATTTTTTTGTGAAGAATTTTGATAATCCATAATCCGAGGCATCATACTTATCTACATAAAAAAGCAATTTTCTTTAATAAGGGAATGAGTCTTAACCTTAATTTCCTCCATAGATATCTTATTTTTTATCAATAAAGATACCAAATTTTCATATAGGTGATTTACGTTTAATTTTAAAAAATATATAAGTGTTTCGCCACTAATGGCGATACCCTATAATTAATTTGTTAGATACTCTTTTTATTCTTTTTAAATAAATTTAAACATAAAAAGTTCACGAATAATGTAATAATCAGCTATTTCTAAATTAATACATCTGTTAAAATAAATCATTATCAAATAAAAAATATATATATAATGGAAACTACAACACCCCCCCCCCCATTACTAAACCCGAGTGTTAGGGGTGTTGATATTACAGAAGATGACCAATAGTACGCAGCGGGGGGGGGGCAGGGGGGCAAATCCCCCCCCCCCCAAGCTAAAAAATGCAGATGCCGGATATATTTTTCATAAATATTTTTGTTTAGAGTGTTGTGCAGATTTAATTTAAACATTTCCATATTTATTAATTCGTTTGTAAATAAAAATTTTAACTTGTAAAAATTGATAAGAATATATAAATATGTTATACAACTTTTTACAAATCAAATAATTTTATTTTTAAATAAATTAATAAATATGGAAATGTTTTGAATTAAATTTACACAGTACATATTAATTTATATTTGTTAATATTTATTCCTATCTCATATTAAATATATATTTAATTACATTTATTATCACATTCATAACTAAGTTTATCAATTAATTTCGTTTCAAGTTTTCCGGCGTAATATTATCTTATTATTTTCAAATTTTTAGTGGCATAATATTTATCTACCATTTTTAAATTTCTAGTTAAATAATAATTATTCTGAAATTGTCCAACAGGGAGAAAGAAATTGCAACCTTGTCCTACGAGATAGAGTCTCCGCCATCAAGCAGTAACAGCTTTTATGGAGTTAGAAGAGCCGATTATTTGCTATTAGTGACATATCACAATGGCCTGAAAGAAATTTTTCCTTAGAAGCAAGAAAATTATTGGATTTCAATGCTTATTCCAAATTTTTTTTCTCATTAGAATGTACAACTATTTTATGTATTGCTTTTCAAAAACATGATGACTTGATTAAGAAGATGAGAATAGCGGAGAGCATTTTATTAGAATTCAAGGAAATTAGGGCTAATGTTTATGAAGAATTTCATGTTTTATATGTTATTGTTAAGTCAAAAGCAGAGCTATACGTGTTTAATATTTGTCTCATTCGACTTGCAGCAAGGCAAGCTCATAGTTAAAACATTAATATAGGATAAGTAGAAGAGTATATCTATATACAAATACATTTATAAACCAAATAAATGAATGGTTTTTAATTCATTATGCAGCACTTACCAATCTGCAAATATTATTTCCATAAAAGCCTTTCCAACCTTTTTCAGATGGTGATAGAAAAAAAATATTTGTTGGATTTTTATCATGAAGATGCTAAAGTATCTTATGATGCCTTATTAGCTGAATAACTATGTTTATAAGATTAACTATGGTTGATACAGTCTCAAAAAATGCTATGGATGCTCTGCATTATTTCAAACACATTTTAGATTATATTCCCAATCTATTAAAAGGGTTTATATATATTAGCAACTCTTCCCAATAGTAAACTAATGAGAGAACATTCTCTTTTTTAAGAAGAATAACAGAGCCCTGCAGAGGTACCATTTGCAGGGCACGACCCGGATTTTTTAAAGATTTTTACGGCTAAGCTCAATTTTCAGGCCCGGCCTTTTTTAAAATAAAATTTTCAGGCCCGACCTGGATTTTTTAAAAATAAATTATATTTATTTTTGATTTTTATAGCTAATAATAACAATTTCAAATATAGGCTGTTTTAAAATATACAGTCCGGCCCGGATATTTTTTTTAAATTCAGGCTCAGCCCGGGTGTTTTTTTTAAAAAATTTCGTGCCCGGCTGGCCCTGCAGGTCTCTGAAAAACATACCAAGAAGTACAACTTTTGAAAGTAGATTGAAAGGTTTGGATCTTTTGAATATTCATAGGTATTTGACAACAAGCAAGGATGAGATAATTGAAAAATTAGCTCAATCCCAACGAAGATTGGATTTTACATTGTAAATATATAACATACAAAATACAATTATTCCCTAAGCTTTTTGTGTATTAATTTATATTTCTAACATTTAAATTTTTTATACTTTATATATAAATTTTAAAGCTCAAAAAATTCAAATTTCTATTTTGGGTCATTTAAGTGATTCTTTACATATAATTTTTTTATAATTCGCATTAATTTAAAATTGTGTATTAGAAATAGTTATTAGTCCTAATAAATTTATGCTTGATATTTTTAAAAAATAATAATGTTTCTTAAAAAATTTTATTATCCCCCCCAGACCAAATATACATTTCGTTCATCTTGATTGGCTATAAAATTTTCGCCAAATATCTAACAATGCTAAGAATTAAGAAATGCGGCTTTTTGTCCTATGGAAGACGCCGTTAGAATCATTTTTGTTGTGAACTTCCCATAAGAAAATACTGGTCTGCAACTCTACAAAAATGATTAATATATATAAACTAATTATTACAAAAAAAAATTCAAAAACTGGTTAACAAAAATGATTATTATAAATATTTTATATTCGCGATTACCTTTTAATAATCGTCCGCCAACATCAAATCTTTGAACATCTTTTCCGCTTGGGATCCACTCGTAGGCTCTAATGCAGAATTTCCATAATCAACTTCTCCTTTGTAACGAAGGTCAAGGATTTCATCTACCCCGATTGATCTTTCTCTGGGTTCCTTTCTCATAAAAATCTTGCTCATAGATGTCACAAAGGTCCAGACATCAATTAGCTGAATTTCGAGGCTTAGGCAATATTATTCTGGCTAAAATATCGAGTTAGCCGTTTTTAAAAATCGGCTCAAAACGAGCCGTTTAACAACACTACTGGCATTTTTAAATATTATTTATTCTCTTTAAATCATAGTAATTTTCAAATAACGATTTTCGTGGTCGGTAATGCCATAATCGATATATTTAAAGGTAATTTAATTGGCTATAAATTTTGCAATAATTTTTATAACAAATATTATAAATTAAAAAAAATGAAAAATTTAACAATGTTGATGGAAATTCTGTATTGGAGCCTACAACGAGTGAAAATAGGTATTGTAGAACATATAAGCATTGTGACCAGCATTTTTTATTTATATATCTAAATTATTATGTTAATTTAATTGTCCGTCTCAGTAATATGATATTTATGTATTGATTAGTGATAAATGTGAATAAATATTATGACATGGATGATTGATTTTATAAAACGAGATTATTGTCAGATATATATATTATCTTTTAAAGAATGCATTTGACCTTTAAGGTAATGATAAAGAAAAACAATATTACTTTCAATAGCACTACTCTCTAATATAATTAAAGGCATCAAATAAACTAATAAAATTAACAGCTGAAAGAAGAATGAAATAAGATACGCATATAATTTATTTAATTTTTTTTATAATTTACTCCTCATTCTTTAAACTCTTTCCATAGAAAATTGACCTTAGAAAAATTAGACCTTGGATTATCAGCAGTGCTGCTCGAATTTTGGCCTCTGAATAGGATGATATAATTTTATCAATGTCAATATTTTCCAATACTTTTCGGAAAAACATTAATTGTGTCCTCACCTAACATTCATCTCAATGACTTAACTCCTAAATAGGTCCAGAAAGGGAGTCTTCTTGAATACATTTTTTAATGTCGAGGGCTTTTAGTTACCTGAATATTCTTCCTTAACACACCACTTATTTTTTCACCAAAGATGTTTTTTCTCACCAAATTCT